CAGTTCTCGCGTCGCGGGCGTGAGCGAAGGTGTGACTGACAGTGGCCCAGGGCATTCACGACTGGAGGGCTCGCCTGACTCCTGGATGTGCGCGCGGGCCACAGACGGGCGCGTCTTCGCGATCGGCGCAGACGCTCCGGCCGACGCCTCCGAGGCCATCCCCGTGGCCGACGGCCGATGCGGAGCCCGCTGCCTAGAGAGCCTGGGGCTGTCGTTGCACCTAGTCGAGGGCGAGACCCAGCGACCCCTCGCTGTGACTCCGCCCGCCGCCGCCCCTGGCGCCTTCGAAGGCCCCTCGCTGGGGGGCAACGGACCAGCCCTGCAGAGGCAGGACATCGGGGCCATCCGCCAGCTTGTCGAGAGAAGTCTCTTCGCGCCCATTCGCCCCCCTTCTCCCTTCAGCGAATCCGCCCGCGCGGGCAGCGAACCGCAGCCACTCCCCCTCGAAGCCCGGGCCTCGCCGGGGAAGGCGACTTCCGCCCCGGCGAAAGAAACGGTGTCTGAGAACGTGCCTGCGCCCGGCACGACCCACAGCCCTCCCGCATCTGGCGATAGTCTCGCGGCGCCAGATGGGGGCGCGCCCGCGAACGAGGGCGGGCGCAGGTCCGAAGGCGGACGCCAGCGAGAGGGGCTTGTCCCCGCATGCCACAGTGCAGCGTTCCTCTCTGCCCCAGCTGCCGGAGGCGACCCGGCCCCTGCCTGGCGGCCAACCGCGCCGACCCGCATGGCCCCGCCAGGCGCCCTTGCCCCAGTAGCCGCCGTGCCGCGCGAAGCCGTAGGCGACTCTGGCAGCGGGCCCAACCAGTCGGAGCTGTCGCAGAGTAGCGAGCAGCATGCGGAGCAGGAGCCGGAAGAGCCCGATGAGCAGGAGTTGCCCGCCGCTCACGGGGAGGGCGCGGAAGTGGCGCCAGCGCAGGAATTGGAGCATGGGCATGAGCCGGAACAGGGAACCACCCACCGCCGCACTCCCCGGGTTGGCACTCCGCACCCTGGCCCCTCCCCCCCTGGTAATGGCGCGAACTCGAGCGCCAAGGAACGACGGCAGCGCGGCCGAAACTTTCCTCCGGCGCGTCTGCCTGGCAGCGGGTGGACGCCCCGCCTGGCCTCTGCGACTGCCGACTTTCCAGTCTCCCCGCCGCCCCCGGGTCGAAGCGTGGCCCCTGGCTGGCCCCTGGCGACGCCGACTGCGCTGGCGGGTCTGGCGGACGGCAGACGACAGGCGACGAACGCAGCAGCAGCAGCCGCAGCCGAAGCAGAAGCAGCAGCAGCAGCCGCCGCGCCAAGGACCAGCCGCTGACCAATCCGCCTTGGGAAGCGAGGCCCGCCGCGCGCCGATCCGGAACCCGTAGACCCGACACGGGACAGCAGGTGTACAAAATCAAGATCAGCTGCATCCAGTGGGGCCCCCCCAGGGAGACCCCTGGCAAGACGATAAAGCGGCTTCAAGTCGCCCTGGGTGCGATGTTCACAGGCGCCTGGCACGCGTTCGCCGCGAAGCACGTCAAAGGCGCGCTCGACCCGCTACGGCGCGACCAGCAAATTTGCGTCAACTTCCCGCGCTCCGTCTGCAGTCACAACTGCGATGTGCGGGCCATGAACGACGCGCTGGACCTCGGCGTTGACTGGATTCAGCTGCGGCAGCGATACCTGCGTCGCGGTGACGGCGCGGGGAAGGGGCCCCAGGTGGCGAAGGGCCACGCTGGCAGCCGCGCTCCCAGGAAGGGCAAGAAGCAGTGGAAGGTCGTCAGCTCTAGCACTGCGGGCGCGCCCGCCCCTGTTTCACCCTAGTCGCAGCCTGCCGCGCCCGTTCGCTAAGGTCGCTGTGGCTTCTTTGCAGAAACGGCAGCCTTCAGCTGCTCCTTGGTTTCCTGGTATGCCGTACAACAGTGGGCCACTCAGAAGGCGGGCGCCATGCCTCCCCTGCTCGGAGGACGGGCCCCGCAGCAGACAGGGGGCAAGCGGGGCGGCGCCCGCAACGGCGACGGGCGAGGCGACAAGCGCTTCCGCACATGGCGGTGTTCCATCTGTACTCGGCAAACCAGTGGCCTTCAGGCACTTCCTGGTAGCGCTTTCTGCCTCCCTCTTCTCCTCCTGCGCCACCATTGGACGCGCGGCCTTCAGCCGCTTGCCTGGTCTCCTCCACTCTCCTTCAGCACCCGCTGCCCCCCGCCCTTGGGTCCTTGGCAGCTGCCTGCTGACAGTGCCGACGCGTGGACTGCCGCTGGGGCCGTGGTCCACCTGTTCTAGTTGACCCCTGGCCTCGCGGTAGTTGATTTCGCCGCCCTCGGCGCCCTCCACTTCCCGCGCCTTTCGGCAGTTGCCCCGCTCCGAGTTGCCCCGCCCCCCGCGCAAAGACGGCGCTGCCGCGCTCCGTCCTGGCCCCCACCTCCTCAGGCAGTCGGGCCCGCAGCGGCCCTGTAAGCCCTGGCTTCCTGCCCCCCCCCCCCCCCCCCTGTCCACATGCTCAACTTCCTCGTTGGCGCATGGAGCCCCCGAGTGCACGTGGTCCAGCCTGTGCTCGCTTGGCCGTCGGCCGACTGCGTTGACTACGTCCACCGTTTCTTGGCGGCGGTGTCCACAGCATTTTCGTGTTCACTCGACCTCGTGCTTGAGGCGTGCCCCTGCCCAGTTCCTGGTCAGTTCTCCTCAAACGTCGTCGGCCTTGTTCGGGAGCGCGCGTGGTTTCCTCAGGAGTGAGCGTGCGACTTCGGTGGCGCCACTCGTACTGGTTCCTGGTCAGTGACGTATTCCTGGCCATCGGTGTTAGTATTACCTCCTGGTGTGTGTTGCAAGCGAGCTGCCCCTTTGAGGCCTGGGTGCATGGATGTCTCGTGTGGTTTATCCTACGTCTAGTCCTCGCACTCAGCGGCCACTTGTCAGCGTTGTGTGCGATTTTGGTGGCGCCACTTCCATGCGCTAGTTTCCTGGTCAGTGAGTTCGTCCTTCCTGGCCTAGCTGGTGTCAGCGGTCCTTCGTGATGGTGTTCCTGGCTTCATCCTGGTATCGCTCCCGCGCCATTTTGGCTGCGCCCCAACCTGGGTTGGCGAATTATGCATGCGCTCGCTCCTGGACCTGCTTCCTGGCAGCTGCTGCCCGAACCACCTCTCGCTTCGGGTCCGCTTAGGTGCTGCTTAGGCCACCGGTTTGTCGGCGCGTTTGGCAATTAGGTTCGCGCGTAGCCCGCCCATCCCGTTTGACGCCGCCTGCGCCTTCGCTTGCGGCTGCGAAAAAAGTCAACGCCAACCCGAGCAGAAACGCTGCCCACAAGAATTGACGGGAAACGCAAGAAAGAGATGTGAAACCAGGCGGGCAAGCAAGATGATGGGTCTATGGGAGCAAGGCGGTGGTCTTGGAATGCATTTTCGGGCCGTTGGGCCCGCGCGGAAGCGACGGAAGGAGGAGGAACGGGGGAGGAGGATAATGACGACGACCACCACGACGAAGAGGTGGGAAGGCGATCCAGAGGTGGCAGTCAAGAGAGCATTCGGTAAGCCTGACTTGGTGTTAGGGTTGTCTTGACTTGAGTTATTTCTTCATTGCTCTTCTGGCGAGCACTGCAACTGCGCGTTTCTGAAATATGTTCTCCACTCTTCGGTGCGCTGCAGGAGCGCGGTGGAGATGGCAAGACAGTCGCTTGGCGCAAACAGCATGTGTACTCGCAGCAGGGAGGATTCGCGCGGAGGCAGGCTCGCGGTACTACCTAAGTTCAGCTCCGCTCGCTCAAGCCAACCAGTATTCCCATCTTCTTGGCGCATCCGTTGTCGCATTTCCCTCATTCGTCCTCCTTCCTGCCTTCAGTATCCTTCCTCTTTCTGAATCCCAGCAAGTCAGACCTTTGCCAGCAGTCATGGTGTGACACCGGTCGTGACCTTGAGCATTCAGGGCGCCATGCCTCGGATAGCCCGTTGCCCTGCCTGCACAGACAGGTCTAATTCCTAGATTCCGCCAGGCCGTCAATACCTCACATCTTTTGAAGACATGCCGAAACCCAAATTTATGTGCAGACGCACGCTACAGAGACCCAGCGCCAGAGCGAGGCAGACTCAGGCCGAAACCCGATGCGATGCCCGCTCACGTTCTCCAAACTTGCAGCATCCGCGTGCGTCGAATTCACTTGAATGCTGTGCACCCCGACTCATGGCGCCCATCTGAAACCTAGGACACAGACAGGGCGGCACGATCATTCAGCACGTGCTCGCAGGGGAAGCGCGCGCGAAGCTTCTAGCAAGTTTGTACACACGTTAATTCACTTTCATAACCGCCCGCAAAGGCGGGTGCATGGTTATGCATACGCTCAAGCGTCAAACCCAGGCCCGCTCCAGGCCACGAAGTACTTCTAGTGGGCTCGTGGCACTTGAAGCAGGTGGAGCTTAACTGGTCCTGACAGACCGGCGCGCAGCGCCGTTGGGGCGTGGTGTTCTCAAGAGGGTTGCACAATTCATCATGCAAAGATTGTCGTGGGGTTGGGGGTGGATGCGTTGGGGTGGATGGGGCCCCCGAGGAGGCATGAAGGAGAAAACACAGGGTGGAGAAAAACGAAGACGTGGCAGAGCATGCGAATCACGTTATGTTTTTTTTTATTGCACGCACTGGTCGACACACAACGTTTGACGGCGTCATGCGCGGAGTAGTGAAGGCAAGCGCACAAAGGCGGCCGATTTTTTAGAAAGGGGGTCGATGGTTCAGGCGAGTTGGAAGTTTGATTCTCGGAGGAGTGTCACTTCAAAAAGCGGCGGCCCTCACGCTTGGCCCAAATCCGCCCAAAGTGGATCCCCAGACGCTTCCTGATTGGCCTCTTTTCCGAGCTTCGCTCGGCCGTGGCGACGAGAGGGCTCCCCGAAGGCCAGAAGGCACAGATGCCTAAACGGGCCCTCCTCCCTCCCTCCCTCCTCTCTCCTCATCCTCCTCCCTCCTCTCTCTCCTCCTCTCTCTCCTCCTGCGCCTTCTCCGAAAGCCGAAAGGCACTGCTGATTCAGAATCTTGCGAGCGGCTCTGGAAAGGTGAACTCCATCGACCAGCTTCGCGACCTCCTCGACGAAGCAAAGTTCTCTCTGACGTGGGAGGCGCTGCGCAAGCAGACGGATGCTGGGGGAGGAGTGTCCTGGGAAGTTGCGGCTCACGCTGCTGGCCCCGAAAGACAAGATTTGCGAGGATGTCGTAGGACGCTTCACAGAAGACGCGCTGGGAGGAGGAGGAGGAGGAGGAGGAGGAGGAGGAGGAGAAGCAGGAACAAAAGCAGGAGGAGGAGTAGAAGGAGGAGCAGGAAAAGGTAGGGAAAGGAGTGAGGGGTTAAGGACGACGGTTGAGGTACAAGTAGGGGAAGCGGATGCGGGAGAGAGAAGCGGAAGGGCAATAAAGACCATGAGAAGAAGCGGAGAGGTTTAAAGTAGAGAGGGCTCCAGTGTTGCAAACTCAGCTTGTGAAGTGAGCCTTGAACAAAGCATCGAGTTGTTTTGCAGTTGCCAGAGCTTCCTGAAGGGACTCCGAGGGATACTGGAGAAAACCCACGGCGTAACAGGAGGTTGGCCCTTCTTGGTTTGCTGTTCCAGACCTCCAACACCTCAGAAAGTCAAGACATAAGATCGCAGGAGGAGGAGGAGGAGGAGGAGGAGGAGGAGGAGGGAGGAAGAGCAAGGAGGGCGGATGGCTGAGGAGGGAGAAGGAAGGAGGGAGGAGGGAGGAGGGAGGAGGAGCACGAGGACGATGAGGGAGAAGGAGGAGGGGGCGGAGGAGACCTCCAGGATCCATGGCCGTCGAAATATGGTCCCGATCTGGAACATTGTCCCACGGGAGGGGTCGGTCAAGAGCTCGCGGGGCCCCGTGCTGAAAGAAACACGGCGTCGCAGGAGGAGGAAGGAGGTGGAGGAGGAGAGGGGGTTAGCCCCAGCGTCTTATTGGTGGCGAAGTGGCGAGACGAGTCGAGACGAGGAGAAGGTTGAGGAGGAGGAGAAGGAGAAGGGGAGATCAAAGGGAAGGGGGTTCCATCCGACTCGGTTACGACCTTGATTGCGGCCTTGCTCGATCCACCTCGAGCTGGCAAGCTTGGAGAGCCAAAGAGGGCCTTTACAACGAATAGAGGAACAAGTCGAATGAAACATCGACTGCCAGGACCACCCCATGACGGCCAATCCAGAATTCCCCCTCAAATATTGCGGCAGGTTCGGCGGATGTCTGGCCCTCACTATTTCATCAGCGCCGGGGCTTTGAGCAGCTTACCTTTTGTCGTCCATAGGCTCATCGCACATGTTCACGGTTCACGATCTGACAATCGAACGCATCGATATGCAGCACTATACCCACACAGTATCACGATTTCCTTGAGCATTTGGGGCTGCCATTGGAAAAAGGGCTGCTGTAATAATTGAGCGCCGTGGGGATATGTTTCTTGATCTGCTCCAGTGGGCCTTGGGTCCTGGTTGCTGCACCCCCACATATAGTATCACTTCGCCCGAAGAGATGGTCGCAGATACCCTGGCTGCAGACAACTGATTTGTCCTGGCAGGCGTTCCTCTGCTTGCCTGGTGGGTTGGGTGTGGGAGGGCAAACACGGGCTTATTTCACGACTAACAGGCTCATTCTACGACTGTGGCGATTTATTCCACGACCCAGAGAAGGGGGTGGAGGAGAATTGGTGAGGGTTTCTTTCGCGACCGCGTTCGCAACCCCGCTTTCGCCACCCCGCTTTCGCCGCCACCCCGTTTTAGCCGCCACACCGCTTTCGCCACCCCGCTGTCGCCACCACCCCGCTTTCGCCACCTCGCTTTCGCCACCCCACTTTCGCCGCCCCCCTTTCGCCACCCCAGTTTCGCCCACCCGCTGGCGCCACCCACCCACCCCGCTTTCGCCACCCCGCTTCGGCCACCGACCCGCTTTCGCCACCGCCCCGCTTTCGCCCCCCCCCCCCCCCCCCCCGTTTCGCCACCCCGCTTTCGCCAACCCCCCCTTTTCGCCACCGCGCTTTCGCCACTCCGCTTTCGCCAACCTACCCGTTTCGTCACCCCGCTTTCGCCAACAACTTTTTTTTCGCCACCACCGTTTTCGCCACCACACCGCTTTCGCCACCCCGCTTTCGCCACCACCCCGCTTTCGCCACCCCGCGTTCGTCGCCCCCCCCGCTTTCGCCACCCCCTTTTTCGCCACCCCGCGTTCGCCACCCCGCTTTTGCAACCACCCCCTCCCCCCTTTCGCCACCCTCCGCTTTCGCCACCCCGCTTCCTCCATCCCGCTTTCGCCACTTCACTTTCGCCCCCCCCCACCCCTCCGCTTCGCCACCCCCCATTTCGCACCCTCCGCTTCGCACCCCGCTTCCGCAATCCTCCACCCCTTTCGCCGCCCCATTTTCGCAACCCCGCTTTCGCAACACGCTTTCGAACCCCCTGCTTTCGCCACCTCACCTTTCGCCAACACCGCTCCGCCACCCTCTTGCTCCCCCCCTTCGCCACACTTGCTTTCGCTACCCACCTGTCTCACCTCCGCTTTCGCCACCTCCCTTTCGCACCGTTTCGACCACCCCACGTTCGCCCCCCCCCCCCCACCCCAGTTCGCACCACGGTTTCGCCACCCCGCTTTCGCCCTTCCCCCCCCCGCTTCGCCACTCACGTCGCCCCCCCCTCTTGCGCCACCCTTTCACCACCCCGTGTTCGCCCCCCCTTTCGCCACCCCGCTTCCCAACCCTTTCGCAAACCACCCCCTTCGACACACCCACTTTCGCCACCCATTTTGCCACACCGCTTTCGCCACCACCCTCCCCCCTTTCGCCACCCAATTTCGCCGACCCTCCCCCTTTCGCCCCCACCACCCACCCGTTTCGCCACCCCACTTTCGCCATCACCCCACCCCTGTCGCCACCACCCCTTTCGCCACCCCCTGTCGCCACCCTGAGTGCTCCCCCCCCCCCCCCCCCCCATGTTAGCCCCCCCAACCTACTTTCGCACCCCACTTCCGGCCACCCCATTCGCCACCAACACACTACCCCCCTTTCGCCACCACCCCCTTCCCTCCCTTCCCCCCCCCCACTTTCGCAACCCCAACTTCCGCACCCTTTCGCACCACCCCTCCCCCCCCTTCGCCATCCAAACCTTGCCACCTCCACTTTCGCCACCCTTTTCTCACTCCCCTCCCCATCCTTTCGCCACCCTCTGTCGCCACCCCCCCTCTCCCCTCCGTTCGCAACCGCTTTCGCCACCCCACTTCGCACACCCCTTTCGCACCCACCCCCCTCCCCCCCTTTCGCACCCCGCTTTCCGCCACCCCACTTCCGCCACCCCTTTCGCCACGCCCCTCACCCCCTTGCGCCACCCCTTTCGCCCGCCCCCCCCCCCGGTGTCTCGTGGTGCTCGTGGTGTCTCGTGGTGTCTCCGCGGGCGTGGTGTGTGCGTGGCGTCGTATGGTATAGTGTGATGTGGTGTGGTGGTGTGTGGGGGGTGGTGTGGTGTGGATTGGTGGTGCGTGCGTGGTGTGGTGTGTGTGGTGTGGTGTACTCAATGGAATATGGTGGTGCGAGGTGTCTGTGTTTGTGGTGTGGGTGTGGTGTAGTGCTGTGTGACTGTGTGTTGTGTGGGGTGGGGTTGTGTGTTGTGTGTGGTACGTGGTGTGTGTGTGTGTACGTGTGTCTGTTTGTGTGTCTGTGTGTCTGTCTGTGTGTCTGTCTGTGCTGTGGTGTGGTGGTGTGTGTATGGTGCGGTGTGAGGTTGTTCTATGACGTGTGTGGTGTGGTGTATGTGTGGTGTGGTATGTTGTGTTGTGGTGCCGTGTGCGTGTGTGGCGTGGTGTGGTGTGTACGTGTGTGTGTGTGATGTGTGGTGTTCTGTTGTGTGTGGTGTGGTGTGTGTGTGGTGTGGTGTGGTGTAGTGTAGTCTGTTGTGGTGAGGGGTGTGTGTGTGTGTGTGTGTCTGGGGGGGGGTGGGGTGGCGTGGTGTGGTGTGGGGTGGTGTGGGTGTGTGGTGTGTGTGTGTGTGGTGTGTGTGTGTGTGTGTGATGTGTGTGTATGTTGGTGTGGTGTGGTGTGGTTCGGTGTGGTATGATGTGGTTCCCGTGGTGTGCGCGCGTGTGTGTGTGTGGTGCGTTGTGTTGTTGATTGGTGTGGTGTGTGGTGTGATGTGTGTGTGTGTCTGGTGTAGTATGTAGTGTTGTGGTGCGGTGTGCGTGTGTGGTGTGGTGTGGTGTGAATGTGTGTGTGGTTCGGTGATGCGTGGCGTGGTGCGGCGGTGTGCGTAATGTGGTGTGGTGTGGTGCGGTGTGGCGTGGTGTGGTGTGGTGTGGTGTGGTGTGGTGTGGTGTGGTGGTGTGTGGTGTGGTGGTGTGTGTGGTGTGTGTGTGAATGTGTGTGTGTGCGGTGTGATGTGTTGTGCTGTGGTGCGGTGTGCGTGTGTGGTGTGGTGTGGTGACAGTGTGGTGTGCTGTGGAGTGGTGTGGTGCTTGTGGTGTGGGTGTGGTGTGGGGCGGTGGTGTGTGTGTGTGTGTGCGTGTGTGCGCGAACGGTCTGGTGTGGTGTGGAGTGGTGCTTGTGTGTGTATGGAGTGGCGTGGTGTGGTGTGGTGTCCTAGCTGCCGCCTGTGATCGCATGGCTGCCGCCTGATCGATAGTGAGACCGACAAACAGACAGTGAGATCGGTACAGCGGATCGGTACAGCGGGATCGGACGTTGGGACACGGGCCAGTCCAGGGTCAGTCCAGGGTCAGTCGAGGGTCAGTCCGGGGTCAGTCTGGGGTCAGTCTGGGGTCAGTCCGGGGTCAGTCCGGGGTCAGTCCGGGGTCAGTCCGGGGTCAGTCCAGGGTCAGTCCGGGGTCAGTCTGGGGTCAGTCCGGAGTCAGTCCCGGGTCAGTCCAGGGTCAGTCCGGAGTCAGTCCGGAGTCAGTCCAGGGTCAGTCCGGGGTCAGTCGGCTGATCCCAGACTGACCTTGGATAGATTTGGAGCTCGGAGTGACTTGGGCTGACCGTGCAGACCGACGCTAGAATGATCCCGTATGTATGGCCCCCAATCCGAGCAAAGTCAGCGCAGCCGAGCCGACCGCCACACTGCGAGATACACGCGTATGTCGGGGCGGAAGGAAACCAGTCTCATATTGAAGTTTGCGCCAG